ACGATGGACTAAGCGAAAGAGGGACTACTCGTAGTCTATGTGTCAATATGCATATGGCTTTCGCAAAAGTGGTTTTATTTCTATTATAACTATGAATTATTGGTGGGAGCAAGCCTTTCAGAGTCTTTCAGAGTGTGAAAGTTTGCTTTACGTTCTGCTAAAGTTAAAATGTTTGATACCCAATCATGCCACGTTTGACACCCAATTAGAGCATGTTTTGCCGTCACCTGTTCACACTTAGATGCAAGCGATGTTATGTGCCCCTATCACCATTTGGATCTGGATTTGGATTTGGCTGAACCCCCAAAATTAAAAGAAATGAGACATTATAGCATGCAGACTTGACCTCAGAATGCTGGAAATCCCATTTCCAGGGACTTCAATTTAACAAACTTTCCAGAGAAGGATGTCCCTAGGAGTCCCCACAGGAGTTGGCCTTCGGCAGTCCATATCGAGAACCCCCTTTTCTAAAATTCTGTATCTGCCCTGGGCTGATCACACATCACACTTAAGTAAACACTTTGTTATCCTCTTTTTAAACAGGGGCCACAACTATTTGCATGAAGAGTACCAATTACATAATCGTGTCTGTTGTTTCCTTGTATCATTTAAAATGGTCTTCACCAAAGCAAACTTCCTTTGATCTTGGGCATGACTGTATTAAGTTAGACGTTTGAAACCACTACTGTCTTTTGTCATGGCAGTGCCGGGCCAAATTACAGAGCAGGGTTAAAGTGCCTATATCCCCAAAAAATTTTATTAGCTTAACAAAATCTCCATATCTCTCTGAGTAACATACCGCAAGAATTTCTGTGTTTACTTGAATCATAATCCATTTAACACGTTGTAAATCAGTTGTTAGAGCTACATCCTTTAAATTCAACTAATTTATTTTACTTTTGCTATTGTCATCTCGGTAGTTTGAATACTCGTTTTGGAGTGGTTGCCGTCCCAACCATCCTGTTGTTTCATTCAGGGAAACCTGTCTTGAAGTTCAATAATTCAATCACGCTGGATGATCTGAGAATGTTTGTGAAGAACAACACAGGTAAATTGGACAAGCTTTTTGCTGATCATTTTCTCACAATCATTTAAAATAATTCATCAAGTTTAAACAAAGGAAATTAAGATCGTGACAGTGTTTACAGTGAGGACAATTGAACTGTGAACACTACGACATTTTTTGTGCTTTTTCAGTGATTAGGGTATTTAGCATTTTGACATTGTAAAAAAGCTAGTCTTGTACACTATATGTGAAGAGCCTTCACTCTACAGTAACCATAAAAGAAATCACAAACAAATGTCAAGTGTCCATAGTTTGACTATTGAGTTTCTTTACTGTAAAAGATCTGATCCTTAGTAGGAAGCATAGATTTTACCATTTATTTTAAGTTTTTAAGTTTCCATTGAGAAGATAGATCAAACACTCAAGACTTGTTTGACCACTTTTCCAAACACCTGGAAGTGCTTCAGAAATACACTGCTATGTGTTTATATTTTCAACTCTCTTTTTGGTGTTTGGAAATGTGTTCAAACATTGTCTTGTGTATTTGATATATTACGTCTAAAAATTTGTAATTTGTGTCATGCAGTATATTAAAATAATATAATTACCTGATTGTCTGTTTGCTTTTGTAGGTGTTGAGGGAAATTTCAGTGTTCAAATCTCGGAACAAGATCATATCGGCCCACTAAAAAACAAACCAGTGGAAGACAGAGACTATTATTTGTTATTTTCTGTGCTTTTCCTGCTGGTATTTTCAGTGTTTATGTTTGCAAAATCTAGCTATCGACAGCTGGTCTGGGAGAGAATACAAGCTGTTCAGTGGCAGAGGTTTTTACAATACTTTAGGAGAGAGAAACAGGACTAACTGGTTATAATGGGCAAGAGACAAGATCGCTGCAGCATGTGAAATGTCTGACCGTGTTTCCAATTCCAGGCAAAGACATTTTTGATAGGAGTTGATGAGTGACAATGAGAAAGTAGCGTGAAATTAACAAGAGACCATTCCTGCAAGGCCAATAGAGACTGATAAGAACAATTTCTACATTGAAATGGAGACAGGACCTTCAGGTTAGCCAAAGGGGTACTTTTCCTGGCCTATAGCCAAGGATTCAGATTAACAGCAGAGGACCTACCCTGCTAAGGCCACAGTAAGAATATTGTACAATGCCTGTGTGAATAGAAGCCAAATGTATCTAAGAAATTTTTCTTAGTACAATGTAAAATTTTGTTCTGTGTATTCAAACAGATTTGAGAGAAAAGATATTTGATATTGTTATTTAATAATTTTCAGTACATTATGTTATTCAGGCCATAACGTAGCAGACACTAACAAAATGTCCTAAAGTTGTTTCTTTATTTATTTAATTGCACTTACAATGTGATTTTGAAAACTCACTAGTAAAACTTTATACCTGTCTTTTATTTTATCACAGTGTTGTAAATACAGGTTACTTTAAATGACCTTAAAATGCACATGACATCGTATTCACTTACTGGCTTTGAAATGTAACTAGTTTGACTTTATGTCTTTCATTTTTGTCCCAGTGTTGTAAATACAGATTAACTTAAAATGACCTTAAAACACTTTTTACAGCATGCTCTCTTAATGTCTACCAAAAAATAAAATAAAGGGACTTACATGCATGCATTGTACAGCATTACCTTAAGTTTCAAATATTGCAACTGAAATAATTAATTATTACCCAAATAGCAAAAGCGGTTGAACCTAATAATAACTTTGTCTAGTTTGCTGTACCATTTTTTGACACTTTCTGGCAGTGATGAAAGAACGTTTTTTTTCTTTTTTTAATTTGAAATAAGCGCGAGTATCACATCATATGGACACTGTTACAGGTTGTCTGAAGTTCAAGTTATTAATTCGTCTTTCTACGTTCTGGTTTATGATTGATCTGGTTGGTGTTGATTTTGGTCCCTGCGACGGCCTAAAGATCCTTTTCTCTGATCCATCGCCTCCCTTTGACTTTTTGACCACATAAGGGTCGTTAGAGTGCGAAGGGTAATTATCAAAACATCCCGCCTTCATACCACCAATCTGAAAGAAACAATGTCATCAAAAAATTGAAGTGATATTTAACAGTACATGTATATGTTTGTGATTTGCTGAAGGAAATTTCTTCATTCTGACTTGTCAAAAATAAGAGTAAAATATATATCTTTTAATTTTACTTTTAAATTGAAGCCCTCATGCCACTGTTAGAACTTTTGAAACATCACTGAGCCTGTAAATTGGGAATTACACTTTCTTGCAGTTGTACATGAACTTACATTTGGTGGCATGGTTTTAGACTTGAATGGAAACTTGGGGAGGGCAATTTTGGTCATTGTAATATTTTGCAAAAATCTCAAATTTACACAGAGTTAAATTATTGCTGAGAACTGTCTTCCTTACCTCTTTTGGTGGAGAGCTCGGTTTAAATGGCTTTAGCACCTCAGGTGGTTTTCTTGTTTCTTTCAATGGTGGTAGAGCTGAAAATGGCAATAATAATAATCATTGAATAATTAATTCAAGTTAACAAGTGCTGTTACTTACCAAGGTTGTTTAGTCCACCTATATATATGTATACAGTAGAAATATTGACCAAAGTTATTTTCTTAAGTTCACAAGGGGACTGAGACAAAGCACAAAGAAAATAGCTTGGTTGAATTTATGACCAAGGTCTTTTATAGAACCCTTCATCTGACCAAAACTGCCAGTCTTGCCAGTTTCAATTACAATGATCATCCGATAAGGTTCTGCAAAAGATGTATTGTATGCACTTGGGCTAATAAAGATTTGTTTTAGGGTGCACCCGATAGATCAGTGATACAAGATCACTCAGATCATGGTGAACCATCCCCGAGTTCTTTTGATCACTCGAAAGGTATGCACCCTTGATATACCTACGCGATTTGCGACAGGAGTGAAGAAAGTATGAAGAAATAATTGAACATAGACAGTACTGTGACTATTCACGATGCTTACGTCGGTCAGACTTGTATGGATTTCCATCAAAATATGCCTTTGGATGTAAATTCAATTTATAAGCTCCTCCTTTTCTTGCTTTGAGGCTTCCCTCCATTTCTTTCTGCAAATAAAATATTACAGAGCTTAATATTGCTAGGAAAATACTGTTTACCACTGTAATCTATGCAGGCAAACTTTTACAAATGCGAGAACAAGTCTACCAATCCTTGATTAGCTCTGGAACAAATAACCAACATTTTTTAATTAATAATTTTTTGGTACAACTGACCATGATCAGGGGGGGGGGTTACTCCCCAAAGTTTTTGGGTGGGTGGGGTGTGTTGCCGAACCTTGAAACCTATACCCTATTTCACACCAAAATCTGTGATTTTCTGTTCCCTATTTCAGACCTGAGCCAAGAAGCAATACCCCATATCAGAGCTCTAAAATTAGTACACGGTTCTAGTACATGACCACAGCTAACCAGAAATAGCCTCCATTTGCGAAACATTTGAGAAGGGTTACAATTTTGCCAAGAGGGTCCACAATAGGGTTCTCAGATCCCACTTTCCCACCCATTTTTTTCTGTTAATCCCGCTATCCCACCCTTACATGTAATTACCTAGAAATCCTAACCCTGCCCACTTTTAATAGACATTTCTGGGTTAATAATTTTAATGATTAAATTAATAATTAACACAGAAACCTTTTTAAAAATAGATGTCACAAAAGATCATGAAAGACTTTATTCAAAGGGTACCCGATAAGTAAGCACAAAGGATTGTAATGTTTCTTTATGTAAACGGTTTCCTGTTTTCTTTTCTTTTGTCCACGTATCAGTGAAAAAAAGATTGTTAATTCCCATATTTAAGGTCTTGAAAAGTCAAATGTAGATGTTTTTAAAAGAAATAAACACAAGCACCCAAAATGTCAGAAATGGACAAATGTCAGAGGCTAACATAAATGATGTCAATAGGACTCAAAGAATTCATACCGTATGGAGAACCTGACAGGGTACAGAGCTGTTGCTACTCATTATTTGAGACCTGACACAGCTATGCACACAAAAGGTTGTTTCTGGCAGCTTGCGGTTTTTGCGCTGGTCAATTTGTAAGGCCACGTAAGAATTGAAATCCTGTGTCCCGCTCTGTTCCTCTCGCAAACCCCTCATCCCAACCCATAAAAAAACGGAAATCCTGCACCCCCTCGTAATTGAAATTCCCACTTCCCATCCCTGTTTTCAGCTCAAATCCCAAATATTGCCATGAAAAAAGCCAGATCCTGCATCCTGCAAAACCTACAATGTATTGTGGTCCCTCTGCCAATGTTGATGCAGAAAAAAATGTTTCTTGTAAAACAAAATACCTAAAGCCAAGCCAGAGAGAAAAACATACCTTTAGGGCCACACATACCTATGTAGTCGATATAAGGGGGTACCTCCCCTCGGATTGTGATCACGCCTTACCTTTCTCAATTCTCTTGCACGCTCATAAGCATCTGACATGTACTTTGGTGAGGTACCAATTGTGATGTGAAGGTAGCCGTAACCTGTCCCCTTCTTGGGTGGATTTGTCAAAAAGTTTTTCCCAGGGGAGTCTGCAGCCTTTTTTCCTTTTGAAACANAGCAAACTGACATTAGAACTGTTACAAATAATTCAACTACTGTTGGCGTTTGATACTTACTCGTACTCTGTCTTTTATAAGGATCGCCAATCGAAATGTAGCCCAACTCACTGAACAAGCCGACACGGTTCAGATCATTCTTCGTGTCCAACTTCGCCATGTTGCGTAAAACACTCGATCTAAAGACTACAACTTACACAACAAGCTCTTATATTACAGGTATTGTCCCAATCCAGATAGAATTGGGAACTGAAGTTGCAGATAATTTTTCTGAAAAACTTTTTTTCCGCGAAGACAACCAAACAATCAACAAAGCGTGGCGTTTGCACGAAACTCACTTTGTTGTCATAGCAACATAGCCTTCGCAGCCTCGCCTGTATTTTATACCGTGAAAAACTGGCTCAGAGTTTGGAATCAAACATGGCGGATTTGTAATCAAGGGGAAGAGTAGATTGAAATGTTTGTGTTTTCAGATGAGAAATTTTCGTGTCGTTAGTTTTCCGTACAAAGATTTTCTTGAAGAATAGCAGAAGCGAGCAGTGTTGATGGCTGAGCGCGAGGAAGACGCTTTTGAGAGGAAAGAAAGCAAAAAAGATAAGGGATATGTTGCTTTTCGCTCGGACGACGACAGTGTTGGCGAAGAAGAAGAGGAAGATTTAAGGTATGCATTTTAACGATGTTGAGTGATTTACCGCTCAGGATATTCCCAGTTTTGTTAAGCAACAAAAAAGAAAGAGACCATGGGAGTTGTTAGCTGACTTTCACTTCTTTTCATTCTTTTAGGCGCATAAATTTAACTGACATTAATTCAAAGTTTCTTTCCGCACTCAAACAAAAATCGAAAACAGCTGTTGTCTGCGATCTCTGTTCACCAAAATGATTTGACCTCTTTAAGTAATTTAATGATCCTCCACAGTTTGCATTGTTTTTGAATCGGTACATTTGATGCGTAATTAAGTATTTTTCTCTAGTTTTCCGCAACAACACTGCGATAACGATCAAGATTACTTTTGACGTTACAAAGGGATTCTTTCTAATGCTATCTTTAATTAATCTGGCGTGACATCCAAAGAAGCTTTTTTGTCATTCAATCAGGATGCAAAGCTGTAAAGGCGATGCTAAATTAATGCACATAACTATGAAAACAAATAGAAAGTACTCATTCATCATTTCCATTCATAAAATCACCTCACAATACGCAGTATTCATAGAACATGAACAGGTGCAGATTTAAATAAACAATTTTTATTGTCTAAAAGACTTTAGCTGCTTCAACTAAATGCTGAAGCCATCTTTTTTTTGTTTCCAAGCAACAAACATTAAATATTAGTTTTTTTTTTCAGCCATGAGTGTAATCTGATATTTGCTACGAACAAGCTTATGATACATTTGATTTATAACTTCTACTTTTGTAAGCACATGTACTTTGATAACTACAGATGGCAGGAGATCACATTTTATGGCATGTCATTGGCCAGTGGCAAATTCAGTTGTTTTAATCTGGCCTCCTATGTTGAAAATATTCAAATGTATTCAGTTTGTGTTTCCTGTTGAAAGGGACAAAAACTTTCTGTTGGATGTAAAAAAAAAAATTTGAGATGATGAGGCAAACTTGTTTCTTTTTCACCAAGAGCATCAAAAACTCGTCTGAATTTGATGGTGGTTGTTATCAACTATCTACAATCAAAAGGTTGTAAAAATTGATATCTAGCTTGTGTGAAATTTTGTCTTTATTGATCAATGGCATATTATTTGTATCAGCCTTAGAGGTCTTTGTTGTAAGGTTATTTTTGGTTCTTTGTTACTGTTTCGTAGGCCTAAAGGAAAGAAAGTGAAAAGAGAGAAATCACGCTCGCTAGCACTTCGTATCAAGCCAAAAAAGCAGAAAAAGGAGAAAGAAAGTAAGGAGAAAGACAAGAAAAAAAAGAAGAAAACAGAAACACTCTCGCCTCCTCAAGCACCAAGTAAGGGTGTAACTCTTCAAGACTTGAGTTCAAAATACAAATTCTCCTCTGTGACTGCCTTACATATCTATTAATACAAGTTTTGAGAACTTAATGTTTTTTGTACTATTTGTATATCAAGGAAACTTCCCTCAATTGAAGATTTTCTCTATAATTTCTTATCAACTTTCTGCTTGATAACTTAGTAATAGTTACAGGAAGAAATTGGATGTTTAAAGAGCATTCCTACTGATTTGCACCTCTTTACTAAATTTGCTTTTCTTTTTAGGATAACTTGATATGCTTACTTACATGTAGCTTACTGTCTGATTAAATAAACTGACTAGATGTATAATTAACCTAAAAATTATTATTTGGTTTTATAAAGCCTTTCACTCTTCCCCTTTGGATTACAATCTACGTGCAAGACTAAAGGACTTGGATAAAACTACAGTAACTTATCAAGGGCAGTTTTTAATTTATCCCTGTCAGAATTTAACTTTAAATATGATAACCAGTGTAGCACACCTATCAAAAAGTAATGTTGATGATTCTTATCCATAACTTATCATTGAAAATAAAATTGTAGTGTTTCTGTCAGAAGTAATAGACATTTTTTTTCGTACTTTGTCTGAATTTTTTTAATGTTGTTGATGGTTCTTTTGGTACTCAATTTAGGCATTATTAAGAATTCAAAGTAAAGCCTTGAGAAAATGTAAAATTTACACTAATTCGTATTGATCAGTGTGAAACACTTTTGATTATTTACATTATTGGGACCTAACCTTTTTTTCAGGGAAAGTGGTGTTTGGAGTTCCTCTAGAAGTTGCAACAAAAAATACCAGGCTTCCAGATGGAGTGGAGTTACCCAGAATATTTCGGGAAGGAATTGTACACATTGAAGAAAATGGTAAGTAAGGATACAGTTTAGTAAAATAATGCCAGTGACTTTTAATTATTTGCAGTTATGAACTGGAATTAGTACATGTTCGAGAAGTAAGTTACCTGGAAGAATTAATTAGGTGTGCGCATGTTGGAAACTAAAATATAGTGGAACCTAGAGCTCTATAACAGTTACTCTGAGGAAGATTTAATTGACGATTATGGAGCTGTTGTTGTTGATGTTGTAGGGAAGTTTCTATACAAGTTCATGTATGAATAAGTGCTGATGGTTGGTAAAAGAATCTTTGCCATTATAGAAAAGTGGCTGTTGTACAGTATATACAGAGGTGACATTGGAGCCTGAGTCTGAGGACACTAGACTGTGGTCATACATGTCAAACTTTGAGCAACACTGTACAAGCTGCACAGAATGAAGATATATGTATCATATTTAATAGTGTTTGAATAAGGCGCAGTGATATCTATGTAGATGTATGTCCAACTGACAGACAGCCTCCAGGTTACAGACCTACTGTCTGGTTTTATGTCTTATGGCTCCTATCCATTGAATGGCATCTACACGTAACTGCTGGCAGCACTAGAACTTTTTTATGTGTAATACTGTTGGAAATTCTATAGGGCTTGAAGTTGAAGGAATTTATCGAGTGTCTGGAATGAAATCCAAAGTGGAGGCCTTAAAAGAAAGTTATGAACAAGGTATGTGATAAAGTTGGAATAATTTAACTGTCTGGGTCTCTGGGTTATTCATCTTAAATCTTGCACTGGGCATTACATTCAACAATGTATTATGTTTGATTTCTGATTCATGCTGACATAAGATGCAGTCGAACCTCCAGTTGTGACCACCTCTCCTCAGTGACCAGTTTTCCAAAATACCAAAAGTTTGTAAGTCAAATCACTACATTTGGAACCTCTTGTAAGTGATTGCCTCTCGTGAGTGACTGCCTCTTGTAAGCAACCACAACCACTTTTAGAGCTAAAAGTTTTTTTTAACCTCCCATGAGCGACCACTGGACAGATTATAGAGCAGAAATTGGTTGATAAGGTGTTGTAATATTATTGCATTCCTGTGTAGTAAAAGAGATGGAATTTCTCAGTGGGAAGTACCATATTTTTTCTCAAAATTGGCTTTTCATATGTCATTTAATAAAAACATTTAAAACTTGGAGTAAGTCTCTATAGTTACCATGTGCTAATGGGGCAAAATTTTTACCAAGGTAAGTCTAAGTTCTTGTAAGCGACCACCTAGGCTTGACATCTTTGGTGGTTGCTTACTGGAGGTTCAACTGTAATTACAAAATGGTAGTCTGTTTCACAGCTGCCCCTCTCTCCAAGAAAAAATCAGAAAGTGGGGAGGGGTGGCTGTGATGCAGGCCAACAAAATAGCAGACAACAAAAAGAGTCAAATGTACATAAGTCTGTTGGTAGCTAAAAATAATGGTGATTAGAAATAAAAATTACACAGTCATGTTGATAAACTTTTATTAATTTTTTTCATTGCTAGGAAGGTCAGTTGATCTTCATGAATTTGAACCTGAGGCAGTAGCAAGTCTGGTGAAGCTGTATCTCAGAGAATTACCAGAAAATATCCTTACTACGACACTACTTCCAAAGTTTAATGAACTGTCTGGTAAGAAAGGTTGGGAAAACTCCAAAAAAAAAGAACTGAGACGCTTGTCTGTGGTTTTGTTTCCACAGCATTTCTCTTTCTCCCAAATTTCCACAAGTCTGGATACGAGCCAAGTGGCCCATCAGGCTGAGGCTTATCCTGGTTTCCATAGCATGAAGTGACTAGGAGTATTTCTACTCCCCCCTGGACGGGATGCTTGTCCATCACAGGGTTACGCCCAGCATTAAGGTTGCCAGTACCCATTTATACACATGGGTGGAGAGAGGCACTGTGACAGTACACAATATTTTTTCAAAAAACATACAGACTGATACATGTACATACAGTGTATGTGTGATCTCTAATATCCCAAAAATATCTCCTGATTTTCAGAAAAAAATTTACTCTCCTCCCAAAACAGCAATTGCCAGAGTTGTCACCTCTCTTCTCAAATGGTGAATGCCTTAAAATGAACATTGAGCATTACTTTTTCCATATAATGGACACTCAGGTGTTAGCCATTGGTGTTGATATTAAAAAGGGTAGACTGTAAAAGTATGTTCAAGCCAATTTTTGGTCTGTATATTTTAACAAATGTATGTATTTTACAATTTCTGCACTTTTTTGAAAGTAATCTCTAATACTGTGTTTTAACGTTCTGACTAGGGATTCAGGACAGGAAAGACCAGCTGGATAAAACCAGGCTACTGCTAGCAGAACTGCCATCTTGTAACAGAACTCTACTGGCATGGCTGTTCACTCACATGTCGCATGTCATGGAAAAGGTTTGATGACTGAATTAATACAGACTTTAAGCGCCTATGATGAAACCATAATTATTTATTTAAAAAGTTGCTTAAAATAGCTCTCTGGTAAAAAAAAAATAATAAACTCTCTGGTGTTGATGGTAATGGTTTGCCTTTGAGTTTTTCCATTTACTTTTCCTTAACATTTCTCCCTGGATCTTCACCAAGACATGATCCTGGGAGACATTTGCTCACATTCCCTTTTTGATTTGATGATGTCACGGTGTTGCACAACTCGTGTCGATTTTAAAAAGTCAATAGAAACAGTGGAGTTGGTAATAGCAAATAAAAATTGCTTTCAAGCAAGAAAGGAAATGTTTTTGAAGGTTCCAATGTCTGTGTAATCGCTCTATAGTCTTTAATCTTTGTGCAAACCCTGTGACATCACAATGCAAGCAAACTGGTAGCCAGTTTCCCGAAAATGTGTAGTTATGGCAAATTTGGGATGTTTGAGACCCCAGGATTTCTTTNGTGGAATTGGTTTTGGACGTATAATAAATTTTTAAGTAATATAATCACCAAGCTGAATGAATTTAACTACAAATTTTTCCAATAAAACAGTTTTAACAGCCCATGTGTTTGCAAAAAAGTATAAACTATGGCTTACACTTTTTAAATTGGCTGGAAAAAATTTACTAGCAATAATAATATTGATAATAAAATATTAATAATTAATATGTACTTTCCATAGTGCAATTGCCTCAGCATTAGCCAAGCAGGAGGCAGTTCTTTCTCAACTCCATGAACAGCTCAACATGAACACAGACAACTTGCAAGTAAGAGAGTGGTACAAATATTTAAATAAAAATATAACTAACTTTTTGCGAGAAATTTCTGGTTTTTAGTAATAGATGTTGATAAAGGTAGTTTAAATCTGTGTTTGAGCATTAGTGGTACATCATGCCCACTCTTTTTTTCCAGTTTCCATAGTCCATCAGAGGGTTTCATTCTAACACTGATTGAGAAATTGTCGGGTATCATAATATACACCTGGATGGAGAAAGGCAGTGTAAGGGAAGAGCGTCTTGCCCAAGAACACAACATAATGATCGCTGGGAGGACCCAAACTCTGACTGTATGCCCCAATGTCCAGTACACTAAGCATTACGCCAAAGTGCCTCTCACAGTAGCCGTTATTACTTGATTTACAGATGTCAAAACATGGCAAGAACAAGGAAATTTCATGTACATGTATAGCATTGCAACCGCACTTAAGGTTTCCAATAAGCCATGTTGACTACAAACCCACCATCAGTTACTGACTTAAATCTTTGTTTTTCAAATTCATTGTTGTCATTGATAAATTACATCATCAAATAAATATTAATTTTATAATTTGCTTATTTCAGTATTAATTTAAGCTGTTGTCAATGTTTGTTCTTGTCTTAGTATGATGGGCGGGATGAAATGCTGTGGGAGGTTCAACGAAAGGTCACACTGCTCAAGAGAAAGGTACCTGTTGGAGAGAATTAACGAATCAAATGTGGTTTAGCATGTTCTGTACTCTTATCGACAACAATATGTGTCATCACAGTGGTCAAAATGTTGTGGACTCACGAGTTGCAGCCAAGTGAGTTCACAACAAATTTTGACCACTGTGATGGCGCGTATCGTTGTCAATAAGAATACAAACCACATTTCGATTTGTTTTTTACCACAATATCAACGTCAAAGAAAGTGTTTTTTCCAGAGCGTGAGCTGAAAAAGGCATTGCATGACACATTGACACAAGCAGTGTTGTCTGGACTCTTATTGACAACGGCAAATTAGCCAATCAGATTGTGAGATTAGTATTCATTGTGGTAAAAAACCAGCTTTTCAACATAGTGATCTTCAGAGAGCTTTTAAGGAGTAAGGAACCTGTTCTGTTTAATAACATTGATCCCAATTTTTCTTTTTATTAGTTGAATTACTTCATGAAATTTTTTATTTCAGAATGTCTTGTGCGTCCATATACTGTGCTGTGATGTAAACATGATACATTTATTAGCCAATAAAAGCATTAATTTTGCGGTGTCCAATCTGTAATTAGTTCAACCCTGGTAATTCAAACTCGGTTATTTTGAATTCCCCGTTATTTCGAACTCAAAACCATTTCCCTTAGACTACTTCCTCAATCAACTACTCTCGGCTATTTCAAACTCCCACCATTTCAATCTTTTTTTCAATTCCCCTGAGAGTTCGAAATGGCAGGGTTCAACTATTTCCATTTTTTATGAATCAATTTCTCCCAACTAGTCTTCCAAGAAAAATAGTAAGAATAAAGGAAAATGTTTATGATGCCATTAAAGGGCTGGTACACTTTATTTCTGGTTGTTAGGCTTGTATGCAGTCAAATGTATTTGGTCTCTTTCAGCTCCGAACTGCCAAAAAGAGAGCTTCCCAGTCAACAGCATCAGAGGAAATACCAAAGACACAAGGAGCTCTTAGAAAAGAACATTCTGTTGAAAAAGATGAAGATGATGGTAGACAATTCAGTATTTAGTACTTTTTATTTTAAATACGAAGGCGTGCTATAAAAGGGCATAAGCTCCTCCCCCTAATTTTGAATTCACCCAAAAAATCAAGATGTTGGACGATGAAGAGAACAATAACAAATGCTTAGTATTTGTTATAATCGTCAAAAGCAATAAAACTTAACCAGAAATGGTGAGAACATATCATTAAAATTACTTTTCTGTAAGTTTTTTTGTTTGGAGTACAATATCTCCTCGCTTCATATGAAAAACTTTAAATATGTTCTTGCGGTCAAATTGAAGCAAGCCAACTGGTTGGCTCCACAATTTAAGATTTGTCCAATAAAGTAGTGATCTGTGAAGTACTACGTTTTGTTACATAAAGATTTTTTAATTTTATGGCAAGTAAAGACAGCAAAGACACTTTCGCATATTTAAATCACCCGCCAATTTGAATTTGACCCGCGCACGTCAACAGTGACTGACAAATGAGCCTTAGTCTTCCCAACGAAGTCTTCCTTATATAGCGTGCCCTCGTTTTTAAGAAAGAACTTCCGCTAAAAAAGGGTTGTTGCCATAGCTAAATAATCGATCATCCAGTAAATTTTAAAGCATCACAGCTATATGTAACAACCTGCACTTTTTGTAAGGTCACAAGCTTAAGAATGTTCTGTTAAAATATTGCGATTTTAGAAAAAAAAAATTTAACTGTCAGTAGTACTCACATGTCTTTCATGAGATAGTGAAGCAAAGTGTTAAATTTATCACACCTTTGGGGTCATCATGTGGTCACAACTAAAACAAGACAATCTATTGTTCCAGAAAATACCCACACCTGTCTCATCCATGGAGGATGTTTTTGTGGTTATATACAATGTATTTTGTGGACGTAACTTTTTTGATGCTGCATGGAACTGCACAAACAGTTGATCGGCTTTCATTTAGCCTTAACTAAAGTTGTGTGTGTTTCCTTTTTTCCAGGGTTAATTACACTTTTAGAAGCTTCTGAAGCAGAACTTTTAATTGAACAGGAGGTATTATAAATAATATATTTACGTTAAATTATATTTCAATAATATTTAAGAATTCCTATCAAGTGTAGACATAATTATGTCGTGACTACAAATAAAATATAAATAAATAAATAAATAAATAAATAAATAAACAAATTTTAATTTAATTTCACATTTTTGTGTAGGAATTGACCTTCATTGGAAATGAACTACGGAAACGAATGGAACAAGAGAAGAAAGAAATTGAAAGGCTTAATGTAAGCACTTTTTAATCAATAACTTTGATGAATGGTGAGCTTCTGCTGTCTCACAGAAATAACTGTTAGTCCAGTGGAAACCAGTTTGTCATATTCTTGTCATATTATCTTGTTAATCAAAGAGAAAATAATGTTCTTGGTAGAATGTCAAATGGTAAAAGAACAATGAAATTTGTAAGATTGAGTTAATTGATGTCTGAAAGCAAATTATGAGGGGTTTAAAAATTAAGAAGTTTCTTAAAAAAGAGAGGAAGACTTATATTGTGAAAAAACATGGATGGCACACTGCAAGACCAAGTTATCGATGACATTGCATGGCATCATAGGTCAGTTGATAAATCGTTGCTTTACAAAACTCGAAGATCACACGTGGTCTAAAAACTTTAAGGAGACTGTTCTTGCGGTGACAGCTACATCGTTGAGACCACGAGGAATGTGCAGGTGCGAATTGTGGAACACTCAAACACATGTAATGACTCAGAACCTGCCCGTAACCTATGTGAGAACCCTTCGCATTCATTTTGTTGGCGCATACTCTGCACAGCCCAATCATTTCACAACGAAGAATCCTAGAAGGCCTAATGATCCAAACAAATTCACTGTCACATGGCAAAACTATTCCCATTGGGAATTACCCAACAGTTATAAATTATGTGAGTAGTGAGTGGCATTTTCACCCTGAAGATGAAATTATGTCAAAAATGTTTCATTGGTGTTTTACTTTTTTAACCATAATTTTTTAAACATTGTTTAGTCTTGTAAATATTTTGCCAAATACATATATCTTATTAGATGTTTTCAATTGGTGTATAGTATCGCTGTATATTTTTATGAGTTGTGCTGCATTTTGATGGGCCCGAAGGGCAAGTCAAAATACAGACAACGAGTAAAAATATAAGGCAATACTACACCAGAACATCTAATAACAGATTTATTACCCAACTGCTCAGTCAATAAACTTATCAATGAAAGAGAGAGAGTGTGACCATTTTGCGTGCGTGTGCCGACTTGTATGGCAAACAGGTTTTCTACTGTTAAGTACAAATAACTGTACAATATCACTGTATATTTGTACTGTTAATTGGACGGTATTTACTGAAGTTGGATAATAAAATCATGTTTACAAACTGTCACAAACTCTTAATAATCTAATTGTAACAACACTACATAATGTCACTCAACAGGAAGAAATTGCTGCCCTTGTGGCCTTAAAGGAGAAAGATCCTGGTTCGGGTCGAAGTTCAGAATCAGATTCTTCTGACAGTGAAGTTGTATCCTTTTCTTATGAATTGTTACAGTTATTAAATGTAGCCTAATAGTAACTGTATTAAGAGTTTGCTGAGAGCCAGCATGTAATGATAATCCTTAAAATGCTGCTCTTTTCCTTTACTTGTGGATGTCAGGGTGATGAGGCTGAACTTGAGAAAATATTACAAGAGCTCATTGACCAGAATGAAGAACTGGAGGTATTTTGTCACTTAAAAGGAACAATTTATTGTTATTAATATTATGTATGGGTTATTGACCAAGTGTGAGGTCAAGATGGCTGGATATTGGTCAGTGCTTTTTTTGCGTGTTCACGGACCAAGACGGAGTAGAGGTCCATAAACTCGCAAAACAAAGAACAAGGCCAGTATCCAGCCATCTTGACCGAATAAGCTTGGTCAATAAAGGATTTATTATACGGGTTTTGGGGAAATTTTCCTTGCGGGACACGACGGGTAGTCCTGAGCAGGCAAGACAGCTCCATCTTGCCTGCTTGGGTAGCCAATCACAGGGCAGGATTTGATTCATCTTGCCTGCTCATGGAGCTAGCCATATAATAAATACACATCCTTGTTACTATGTGAGAGTTGGTGGTGTTTTCTCCATATAGTAACAGTCAAACCTCCCCACACAGACACCTCCATAACATGGACACCTCTTATTATGGACAGCAGAATTAATACAATCATGTATTAATATTATATTATTATTAATATTATATTAATTTTTGTTAACCTCTACATTTACAGAGATGCCTCTATAAAATAGACACTGGCTGGATTGTTCATTTTTGTGTGTGATTATGGACCCCAACTGTGTTTCTGTCCATAAACATGGCAAAAAAAAAAAGCTTCGCCAATATCCAGCCTTCTTACACAAATAAGACAGAGCTGAAAGGGGCAATGGGCAATGGCTAATGTGCAGTTCCAGAAAATATCCAAACTCCCCCCATAGAGGGGATTGGAATTTCCTGGGGGTAGGGGATTCTGTAAGACCAAAAATGCATGAAGCTTAATTGACATACTCAGGGTGGGAGGGTTTTAGAAGAAATCCCTTTTGTGGGGGAGGTACAGTATGTGGATTTTCTGGAACTACAAAATTTAATAAGCCAATCTCTTGACCGATGGACTGTTTGTGTGGATTTTTTGTAGCGCAAGAACACAGAACTGTGCCATAACATTCACAATGAGAGAGAAGTTTGCATAGAACTACAGGTGCAAATCAGGGTTTTGGAAGCCAAACAAGGACAGAAAACAGATCCAAAGCTTGATGAACATACATCAGAAAATATCAGGTAATGAGAGACAAGAACACAGCTCTTGTTGTCTTGGACCATCAATGGACTTTCTTTATTTCATCAACTTTTCTAGTCTGTTAGAGGGTCATCGCTGTTCATGCAGTTGATGATAGCACTTGCCCGGGGCAAGCAAAATTTGAAAGCTGCCTGTCCAACAGGCAAGCTGTATTTCTAGTTTGTTTTAGCTCTGGAGAAGTGCCATACAGTAACTGTATTAAACATGAGGGGAATGTGAGTTATTTGTGATTGAAAAACATTATATAGCCAAATACAATTATCTGTAAGTGTTGCAACAAACTATGCATTGTATGATTGGAGTAAATTCTGAACCATTTTAATGCACACTTGGCAGTACTAATTTTTGTCCTGTATCGTTTTTATATCTGTAGCTCAAACGTCACTGGAAGCTCCACAGTAACTTCAGTATAACGTGGAGAGCATGCATTCATCTCAATCAATCTCATGAAATCATATTTACATAAAAAGAGTCACAAATGTATTCTGTGCAAGTTGTACTCACTGCAGTCCTGTCTAGTGCTAATCACACCACAGAATGACTCTTAACAGTGACCTTGCCTTTAGCTAAACAAAAAACACAATAGCCTGAGCTATCTTTTTTCTATAATCATTTTTAATAAAATCTTTTCTTACACTAACTTTACCCACTGGTAGTTTGCCATTCTCATAACTTTTTCAGTAAGGTAATATATTTAGTTTTAATTAAGGATTATACAGTACAGTTCTACTGAAAAGACTTAGTATGTGACTTGAACTACAAAAATATATTTTATAAAAACTGCTGGATTTCCTCAGACAATCAGTTGTACAATCCATTACAAACTTTCTATTTAGTTCACACATTTACATAATTCTGTTCTCAATGTGCCAAGAAAGTTATTCTCCATTAATCAAGGGCTTGTGGATTTTGTCGTCAGGCAAGTGGATTTTGTCCCTTGCTTGCCTGATAGGAAAATGACAGTTTTTGCAAAACATTTTGCAAGAAAATTCAAATTTCAGAAGTACTGTTCAGAGGAATTATTCATGTTTATTTAATTTAATGTTAACTGGATTGCCCAGACTGGTAAGATAAGGCTTAAAGAAAAGGAGCAAAGTTTTTGGGCTGTACATGTACATCATATAGTTACAGCTTGCCTGAAGGCCAAGCTCAAAAACTGAACTTTTCTTTACACCTTGGTTCTATTTATTGTATTCAATGATGCATTAATTACTGCTGCAGTCCTTACCTTAATTTCATTAATTGAGAAGAAAACTGCCACATTGACTAACAAACCACTTGTCAGGAAATCCAGTTTGGTTTCACACAAACTATATTTTAGATTTGTCAAACTCAGTGAAAGAGTTGTATTTGCATCTGGGTACAGTTAACATTGAAAATGTGTACTTGATGACACACTAAAGAAACTTTCCTAAAATATAGAAGTTATAAACTCAACAATGAATTCCACTCCTTGTTGACTTGGTNCCTGATCCCTCCCCCCCCTTAATGAAACCCCTGATTGTGACATGTTACTTAGCACTTTTTTGGAATGGAATCTGCAAGTTCATGTCATTTCTTGGTGTTAGGATGTCGATATTAACTGGTACCTGTTACCCAAACTGAGAAAGTAACTAGAGGAACAAGACACACACCTTCAAAGCCAGATGGCACATAGTCCTTTGTAACAATATGGACAAACAATGTTGGTAGGCAAAGGGGTTGATTTGACTCGTTGCGGAGCTTTATGTGGCGATAACCTGCCAAACGACAGAGACATATCTTCTTTCAGCTTTATTGGTCAATATATAATAATCAATACAATAAATTGCAATAATAAATATAAATAATAAATATTATATAGAGACCAAAGGGGTCAGCACAAAGGGGACATGTAACCCATGCATGGCAAGGCACAATAACTTATTACATGCTCAATCTAGCTGAGTACACAATAAAATCTTGTTGTAGTACGGGAGTAGTATGGCAAATGTTTGGGGGGAGGGGTTGATATGGGATACTGGCAGGGGGTAGGGTAGGGTTTGAAACTGAGGGGAGCAGGTGGTGTGTAAGTTATTCTTTTTAAGAACTCCATCCTCCAAAGAGTGGAAAAAAAAAAACTGGTTTGAACCAGGAGACAAACCACATGCACTGTTACTACAATGATTACCCTGGAGGTTGGCTCTTCCTATCATTGCAAAACAGAGATCACTACATTTGTACACGCTTTTGTGGGCTTTGTTCATGGGCAATACACTTCCCCATGTGGGAGAAGTAGTCGTACCCCATATTAACTTAACTACAGTGGACATTTCAAGGTCAAAACTCACCTGGACTAAGACCAACCACTGGTAGTATTCTCTGGCCAATGAGTTTCCCACTTTCTTCATAGACAGCTATTCTTAGAACTGCTAAACTGGGTAGAACAACCTAAAATATAAATAATAACAAACTGCATGACTGTTTCCAACTGGGTGGAGGGGCATCACTGGGGTATCCATTTGGCTAAAACCTGACAGAAATTATTTTAATCCCATTTTTTTTGGCAAAATCAGGTTAAAAATCTGCACAGAAGCTGTATGTACCTACATGATGGTTAATTGCTGCATGTCTTGAGGTCAGAACATCAATAATCAGAATGAAAGTTACAAATACAGTTTTATATTGATAGTTTTCATATATTATCAAAATTGTACAATACAAAACTCCTCGATCCTTTCTTCAATACCTCTTGCAAATGACATAGTTACCTTCTTAAACACAAAAGGTTCTTCATCATACACAGGATTAATGGCATTATTTGGTACTATTTTAGTTTTGTATTTTTTTCTGATGGTGTCTGCAGGCAAACCGTACATATCCACTTCTACGTATGTGCCAACCTTCTTGTCAGACAGCCACTGGCCAGAGATTACCTAACAAGAGGGTATAAAGTAGAAATGTACGCCTGAGAGCATGCGCCAAACCCAATCTTTTATGTGATCATAATTAATTTCAATCAGTGCAACTGAACCTACATTAATATTACAGCCACTACTAAAATCCTTGATAACACAATCTTACCCTCTTTATCAACTTCCACTATGTGGTCATTACTATCTCACAAGGGTGACTGCTTAAAAGAGGTTCTAGAGGGTAANTTTATAAAATAAAACTGCAGTTATCAGATAAGTAAAAATACATGAAAGTAACACTTTGATTTATATGAATCGCTACAAACATGGCAATACTTCTTAATACTTATGGCATTCGCGAGAAGAAGGCAAAACTTAGCACTGCATGCAATCAAAATTAAATTAATTAGTACAAGTGGTTCTGAGAGAATTAAAGATTAAGTGCTTCCTTCCTTTTCTAATGTGTCAGCATATTAAAGGATACTTGACAAATTCTACTGGACTTTCTTTAAGTATGGCTGTAGCCCCTGTTTCCACAAATGATGACATCTCAAAACTCCTGTTGAGCTCTGTCAGGAAAGAGGCAGACTGTAATTATTGTACATGTACATGTTAAGCTGAAAAGATACAGATCAGAAAAGCCTTGATTTCAAGCCAAGTAGTAACCAAGGTACCCATGTTGTGTATAGAATGTCTGCTGGTAGAGTTAATTCTAATGTGGTGAATCACTTAATTAAAGTTGAACCTCTCCTCTATGGCCATTACGGATAGGTAGGGGTGGCGGTGTAAAGTAACGGATCTTGTAAAAACAAAACTACCCAATTCATGATCTAATACATTAAATGAACAAAAATATATCTTAGTTGACCACTTCCCCAAAAGGACTTTTCAGGGCCAACTTAAACAAACAGCAAAAGAAAACTGTCTCTTGTGTTTGATATTAGTACTTGAAACATCCCAGTACTAATTCCATGACAACAGCGAAGTTCTTCAGGTGTAATACATAGAAGGAACAAAGTTCTGTTTGTTTTTAGTCATACTCACTCTCAGAATGCTCAAAGCTTTTAAAGTGCACTGGCTCTATGTAGTTCACAAGGGCAGAGAGTTCTACCTCAGGGGCAACTTCATCTTGATCTACCTAAATATTAAAAAAAATGTGAACAGCTGGCAGCTAGCTGATGGATACTCAGCACCAGATCCAGGATTGGGGCCCAGGCAGCCTACCCCCTCCCAACAGCAAACTAATTAAGCTCTGAAGGGGCCACACCTTAATTTAAGGCCCAAAGAGCCAAAAAATTTGGCACCTTAGGATCTGCCACCCATGATGGTAGGCCATGGCTAGCTAGTGTCAATGACTGACCAAAAGGTCCCATTCCCAGTGGTGGTAGAACAGTAATGGATAGGTGCAAAGACCTTTTCAGCATTTGAAATTTGCTACAGGTCTGAGAATTTGGTATGGGTTAGGAATATCCTGTTGACTTTATGAGCTGATTGAAAAAAAACATCACTCAGAGTTCTCATTATTGTATGTGGAGAAACAGAGGTTGTTTTGGAGGGGGAGGGCGTGTCTTGGGCTGTTGGACTTTTCTTGGACCCGTTTTAGCCTGCTATGACTTTGAGGTCTAACAATTTGGACTCATTTGCACCTTGCCGTCACTATTATCACCGGGTACCCTGTAAGGGCCCTAATATTTAGACAAGAGACAACAAAACTACATCTCTAAGTTAGGGCAGATTAAGCCAACTCACTTTTTCAGTATCTGTAATGTTATTGTTTCCATTTTCAGTTGGTATATCTTCATTAACTCCTTCCACTCTGCCTTCAGGGCTGATCACTGGGGTGCTCTCTATTGGATTCTTGTCAGTGTCAACCCCTGGCACAAAAGATATACTATTAACATGGTTGCTACAGACAGCCTGACTTTTCCCTCATAAAAAAAATAATAAAATACCCCTGAACAAATAGATACAAAATTTCAGATATAGTACTGTTAGAATAGTGGCTTCTAGCCTCCCCTTGCAGCCATCCCACTGTCTGGTATATACACTAAAATGACCTTCTAAAACCTTACATTAGAGTCTCAAACTCCTCAATTTTCTGTATAAAACATGTGTTCCTCAAAAATAAGGAAAGCAATGTACATATTCCTTATCGTGCACCATATAAATGAATTACTGTAGTAGTTTCAATACTGTCAAGGATACCTTCTTCTCGCCTTGTTGTCCTTTTCTTGTTCTTGATCACTATTTTTCTCAAAAGCGCTTTTGGAGGTGGCAGAGGTTTCTTTTCTTCTAGCTGTCAACAAAGCACCAATTAAAAGGTACATGTACATTGAATGGCATAACTTTAAAACACGAGTGATGGGTGGTAAATTACATAAGAACAACATTGTATTTTTAACAAACACATGAATTCTTTATACATGTATCCATCCGTGTTCGAAAATTGCATGATAAAGCTGCACTGCACTGCTGTTTAGTGTTGAGACTTACGATGATTGTGACTTTTCAGATTGATAAAACTGTGGAACCAGAGGGAGGGAAGGGGAAAACAACTTATGTGAAGAGCTCCTTCACTCAAGAAAATGCTCACTCCAAGCAAAGCGCTAGAACACACTTTAGTTCAAGAGCATATGGAATCCTGAAGCATGGACAGACATGTAAACTCTGTTGACAGCAAAGGCAAGGCAAGTGCTCTCTGTTATAAACTCAGTTAAAAAGTTAACTTGATTATAATCAATGTATTAATTATAGCTGTTCCCAATTTGAATGGGTAGTTAAAGGTAATGACCTGTTATTATGTTATTGTTAAGCCACACTCATTCAGGCACAAACTGCACCACTGACTGCCAGATGAGTAGTGCAAAAGCTAAGATGGGGTCTTAGGTCTTAGGTCTTAGTTTGCAAGGGTCTTAGTTTTTCTTCAGCAGAAATATATAACAAGTGAGCACAAAAGAATCAATTCACAAAACCCATAAAATTAAAAGTGACTTACTGGGAAGTCATCCAAGGGCTTGTCAAGAAGCATATCTCCGAAGATATTAACACAGTATGCTGCCATTTTAGCCTGCTGTTTANTAAACTTCAAAAACTTCCTCAGATATCTCACCTGTTAGATATGTGTTGTGTGACGAGTTGATAAAATAATGTGATAAGGGTCTTGACATATCTTGATAAAGCGACAGACGATCATGGTTGATAATAAAATTGTCATCACTCATAAGATATCTGGTGAGACCCTGAACTGAAAAATGCCCTAGAAAACAATGCATTTGAATTAGTTCAGAAAATTATTTATGCCAAAATGATGATCATACAATTTTGCCTTTGACTATGATAACAAATTAACCACATGTAACTTTAATTTCTTGCACAACATGACAGCTTTACTTGAAGATGATATAAAAATGTAGACTTATCTAACTTAGGGGAGCAGGGATGGTACAGTGGTGAAGGCGCTCGCCTCCTACCAATGTTCCCAGTTTGAATCCAGCCCAGTGCCATACGTGGGTTGAGTTTGTTGTTGGTTCTCGCCTTGCTCTGAGGGTTTTTCTCGCGGTTCTCTGGTTTTGCTCCCTCCACAAAAACCAACATCTCCAAATTCCAATTCGACCAGGATGGAGGACCCGCATAAAAACCAGCTAAGGCTGATGGGGCTTCCTCTCCAAATATTGTAATTTTATTTTATCATTTATTAACTTTGTTGCCATACAATTACAAGCAATCTTACCCTTCTTTGTGAAATCTCTGTTTGGCTCATACTTGTCAATGATAGCTTGAGCCTTCTCACTTGTGCAGTAGGGGAAGAGGATTTCATTAAGCCGCGGATCCCTTTGCTCATTGTTGAGAAACTCCACCAGTTGATCCACTGTGAGATAAGGTTTCTTTTTTGCACCACTAAGAAATAAATGAGATGCAAATAAAACAGTTTGGGAAATGACGACATGATTGATCACTGCAGTTTTACACACAACTTAAGCAGCTGATAAATTAAAGCCTGAGAAAATTCAGGGTTGAACGGGATTCAGATGAAATGAGTGAGCAATGGCAGCGAGTTGATCAAACAGTACAGTGCTCTATTTACTAAGTTCTACATGGCTGCTATGATCTAATAAAGGAAAACTCTTTTATAGCGGTTTTCAACTTACATTTCAGCAAATATTGAGTCAATGTCTTTTCTGTCACACAGTCTGTTGTAGAATCCCCAAAAATCAGAGTTATTTGTGATTGAAAAACATTATATAGCCAAATACAATTATCTGTAAGTGTTGCAACAAACTATGCATTGTATGATTGGAGTAAATTCTGAACCATTTTAATGCACACTTGGCAGTACTAATTTTTGTCCTGTATCGTTTTTATATCTGTAGCTCAAACGTCACTGGAAGCTCCACAGTAACTTCAGTATAACGTGGAGAGCATGCATTCATCTCAATCAATCTCATGAAATCATATTTACATAAAAAGAGTCACAAATGTATTCTGTGCAAGTTGTACTCACTGCAGTCCTGTCTAGTGCTAATCACACCACAGAATGACTCTTAACAGTGACCTTGCCTTTAGCTAAACAAAAAACACAATAGCCTGAGCTATCTTTTTTCTATAATCATTTTTAATAAAATCTTTTCTTACACTAACTTTACCCACTGGTAGTTTGCCATTCTCATAACTTTTTCAGTAAGGTAATATATTTAGTTTTAATTAAGGATTATACAGTACAGTTCTACTGAAAAGACTTAGTATGTGACTTGAACTACAAAAATATATTTTATAAAAACTGCTGGATTTCCTCAGACAATCAGTTGTACAATCCATTACAAACTTTCTATTTAGTTCACACATTTACATAATTCTGTTCTCAATGTGCCAAGAAAGTTATTCTCCATTAATCAAGGGCTTGTGGATTTTGTCGTCAGGCAAGTGGATTTTGTCCCTTGCTTGCCTGATAGGAAAATGACAGTTTTTGCAAAACATTTTGCAAGAAAATTCAAATTTCAGAAGTACTGTTCAGAGGAATTATTCATGTTTATTTAATTTAATGTTAACTGGATTGCCCAGACTGGTAAGATAAGGCTTAAAGAAAAGGAGCAAAGTTTTTGGGCTGTACATGTACATCATATAGTTACAGCTTGCCTGAAGGCCAAGCTCAAAAACTGAACTTTTCTTTACACCTTGGTTCTATTTATTGTATTCAATGATGCATTAATTACTGCTGCAGTCCTTACCTTAATTTCATTAATTGAGAAGAAAACTGCCACATTGACTAACAAACCACTTGTCAGGAAATCCAGTTTGGTTTCACACAAACTATATTTTAGATTTGTCAAACTCAGTGAAAGAGTTGTATTTGCATCTGGGTACAGTTAACATTGAAAATGTGTACTTGATGACACACTAAAGAAACTTTCCTAAAATATAGAAGTTATAAACTCAACAATGAATTCCACTCCTTGTTGACTTGGTTGTCAAGTCAGATAATGCTTTTATCAATGAAGTGCATCAGGAAATGATTTTTTAAGAAAAAATGTTTTCCCTGGCCACTGATCAGTAATATATGAGATTTACAAATTAATATCCTGGCCTGACTGTTCAAAGTTCAATTAAGCTAATTTAGGATAGGCAGAATTTCTAATTCAGTTTTGTAAATCTCTAGGGAGGTTTCTGGTTAATAAATTCTTCAAAACACTAGCAATTAGAAAAAAGAAAAAAAAACACTTTTATACAAGGAAATGTCACTGAAACCTTGATCTACTTTTGATCCTTATTAGAGTGAAGCAGCTTTCAAACCACTTGGCTCCACAAAACATTAATAAAACTTTGAAAAAGAAGTATTTGATAGTACTGTAGCCACATGTATGATTGCCAACATTAACATACTGATGACTTTAATTTGGAAAATCTCTTATTGCAAAGTTTTTAATCAATGATATCACTAATAAAAGAAGATGAGAACTTAAGATGTCCAAATTAGCCTTTTTAAAAGTGATTCCAAGTCTATGATTTTTACATTAAGTAACTGATGGAAGGTTGGTGGGTTATCTTAAATAATATACAACTTACTGTTATTAGCCATAAATGCAATAAACTGTTTTTCATTTATCATTTTCTATAATATCTCTGCCTTGAAGACAAAAATATGGCCACTTACTTTTAACAAGCAAGTGCCTTTATCATAAAACTAACAACACTGCATTACTTTGTATACACTTGAGTTAGTTACTAGAACTTAAGGGTGCTTTCCAGTAAACCAGAAAAATTGGCATTGAATTTGCAGAAATATTTATGATTGCAAATGGTCTTGGAAGTGCATTCTCTGGAATTTCTAGAAAAGAGGACAACCTCATAAGGTTTGCTCAAATTTTCAAAAAATGTTTACCGGTACTAGGAATTTCTGTTCCATTTGATTTTCTTTCTGGAGTTTCTGGAATTTTCTGTTTAATGGTTTACATTTCAGAAATTCAACAACTTTCAGATTTTCCAGAAACTTTCCAGGGAAATTTCCTTTAGTTTACCGATTACCAGGTACCCCTGTTTGGAAAATTCTGGAATTTTAGCTTGAATGAATGGAAAGCACCATGAATGTTTGTAATAATGTTATTATAAATAAATGTAAAGAATTTTAACATTGTTTTTTTATGATTATTTTTAGTTGCAAACAGCATTCACATTTGGCATCTTTCAAGGAATATTTTTGACACAGATCCTACCTGAAGATAAACCAAATCCTTTTCAATCAAAATACACGTACAGAAAAGTCTTGTATTACATCAGCAGTAATGTTACAAGAAAATGTTCACAACTGACGTTGAATGAGTCTACAAATCAGCTTAATTTTTGACAAACTTGATGTACTGATAGTGAATACCCAACATTTCTTATGATGTCAAAAGTTAATGTTACAAAATTTCTATTAACTACTATCTCTCGCTAACTGATACGAGATCAACAGATGATGAAAAACCATGTAGTGCGTCAAGTGACTTTCCAGCTATCTTTGTCGCTTCCATACCTTGAGCTAAGGCATCTTCCCAAGGCACATTACCATTTGGCACTGTCGCAGTTGGGGCTGTAAATTAAAATAGATGATGATGAGAATGTCACCTCATTCTTGACAACAACTAATGAGTGATCATTGGAGTTATATAACGGGATTTGAACCTATGACCATGTTGTGACCAGCTCCCAGTTGGCTTGGTAGCTCAGTTGGTAGAGTGCAGTGGTCATGGGTTTGAATCCCATTCAAGTTTGAATTTTTTTCAGGGTTAAATTTCACAACTGCTTAAGTCGTCTATACTACTGCAATGATCAATCATGTCTCCATATCTTTCTCTGCAGTTCAAATAAATGATCTTTCATATATTCACTTGTAACAACTAAGAGTGTTATAGATGGGACTTGACTTACAAACAAAAGGACTGCTTCCAAGAGATCTTGCTTTTACTCTTTCCAGGAATGCATCAAAGTCCTCGACGTCTAGTTCAGTACTAAAAAAAAACAAGAAAAGAAAATTTCAGTGTCAGTTAAACATATTTCATTATGAACCTGAACAAGTTTTATCAAACCCTACTCCTGCGAGAGGCCAGATCCACTTTAAAACAACATGGAAAAGCCAAGAAGGCTTAGAATACTATTCACT